GATACCCCTTGGAAACCGGACCCGTCGCTATTCCACGCCCCCTGAATCCATGCTTGCGCTCGCCTGGGTATGGGCACGGGCGTGGGTCGCTCCTCCTCCTCCTCCTCCTCCTCCTCCTCGTCCTCCTGCCCCTCCCCCTCCTCCTGCTCCTGCTCCTCCTCCTCCTCTCTCGCTCCTCGTCCTCCCCCTCTCCTCCTCCCCTCCCCCTCCTCCTCCTCCTCCTCCTCCTCCTCCTCCTCCTCCTCCTCCTCCTCCTCCTCCTCCGACGACGACGACGACGACGACGACGACGACGACGACGACGACGACTTTTTGGATTGCATTGCTGAGCATTGCTCGTCAAGGTCTTATCGACGCTTCGCCGTTGCCTTCGCCTTGACTGGGCGTAGGCCTCTTTTGCTATTGAATTCCGCAGCAGCTGCAGAGCTCCCTGGCCAGATACCTTTAGCAATCTGCTCCAGGTTGTATCTGCCGTCCTTGGTGGTAGGACGGCACTCTTTGGCAAGGTTCCTGAGGGCTCCGCCCTCAAGAGCACACATATATCCACAGTTGCTGCAATAGAAAATGGGGATGTCTTCATGGGCCACAACATTGTGCGACTGATGAGGAGATCGGCCCCCGATTTGTAGCCTCTGGTGGGCCTCAGGGACCCTTCCCGCGGGGTGGGCAGCACCATCGGGGACGCCAACTGGGTGACAGGGGGTCAAAAGCCATTTGAGAACACGGGCCCTGCCACCCACACGACCGAGACAAACCGAACACGTGGCTTTGATCCCCTGTCGTCCCTGCTTAACTATAGACGGGGTATGTGCACTGGTCGCCACAGCTTTCTGCAAGACGCTGGGGCGGGGTGCTCGCTGCTGCTCAGCCAGGGTCGGGAGTCTCTCAACCTGGGCCCTGGCTTCGTTATCGGCCTGCATAACTTCTTCGAGCACAGTGCACAAACGCCTACGAACTCTGGCGGCTTTAGCTTCAACATCCTTAACATTCTGGACCTGGTCGGGGTGAAGCTGAAACTTCATAGCCGCGTCATCGGCATGAGTATCTACTAAGCTGTTGGCCTGGATCCAAAGCTCTGGAAAATTCATTTCAGCTCGCCTGGCTTGGGCCACGTGGCTCTCAACCTTATGGCATAAAACGTGGCGCCCCCCTCGGGCAACCCGAAATCTCTTCCAAAGGTCCCTATTCGTTCTGGGTTTGCTGGCATCGGGCCGACACACGCCACGGACCACATAGGCCGAGTCAGTAATAAAGTGAAGCTCGCCGTCAGGCGGTAGATTAAACTCAAGGGGAAGGTCCTCCAGCCAGCATATCAGAGCCAGCAATTCGGCACGGTTGCTAGACTGCTTGGGCCCTGGGAGGTTCCCCGCTTGGCCCTTGATGGGCCCGAGATGGTTCCAACTGGGGTCTTTACACCAGGCAGCAAGATGGGTAAATGCCCATCCACATCTACGGAGGCGAGGGTCTTTGGTGTGAGCTCCTCCAGAGCCGTCCCCCGCCCCCCAAAACTGGGTCCCTGGCTCGAGGTTGGCAATGGCCTCAGGTTGGGTTTGCCACGTCCACACGTGGGCCTCACTGAGGGGGGGGATCAACATCGGTCCACGACGCTGGGATGAGACCTCGGAGCCAGAAACAAGGAAACTGCTGATATCCATCGGCGGCCTCTTGCTCGAGGTCAGCCGTCTCGCGGCAGACGTCCAGATGAAAGTTGGCACTGCACTGCCATGATCGATGAAAAGGAGTCTCTGGCTGATTGAGATTACACCGCACACAAAATGAGTCGGATTCGCCGAAGATGCCAGCCTCGCAAAGCCGAGACCTCGGCCAGGTCGATCCAGTTGCCATGGCCATAACATTACCCCTGATGCCTGGAGCGGCTGTGGAAGTCATCTTGTCTAAGGTGCGGAGGGACTGCCGAAGGGAGAAGAGGTCCGCCCCACCCTCCAGCCCCCCGCCCAAGTAGTGCTGGCTTGCTTGCTTCCACGCTTGGCTCCACAGGCTCTGGGTGAATTCTTCAAGAAAGGGTTCGTAGTCGATATCGCCAGACTGCAGTGATAGTTGCCACCAATCGTCTGTGACAGGTGAGCACCAGGTTAAATACGTGTCATCAGTGGCCGTCCAACCCGCATCCAGAAGCGCCGCGACCGCGCCCGCCATCGGTCCTCGAGCGTGTCTCCAGCGGTCGGTCTTCGGGGTCTGGGCGACACGGTTGGCCACTTTGGGCCAAGCCCTGGCAAGTCTGGGAAGGACGTGCTCACTGTCTTTGTCACGGGTGATAAACTGAAACCAGGTCTGCAACTGGCGGACTCTAAGTTCTATGCCTGGGTTGCGATTCCCCAGTTCAAGCGCCAAGTAGGCAGTCAGGCAGCGTCCAGCCTTGCGACCCCCAAGCGCCCCCGCCACAGCGCGTTGAACCTTCACAATCTGGGACGGGGCCATGCCTGTAGCCATAGCTCCGCAGGCGATGCGGGGCACAGGAGACATCAGGGTCAGCTTCCGCCTGGCTAGGCGGATGCGACTAAACTTAGAAACCTTGCGAAACTTAGAAAGCTGGCGGAACGCTTGGCTGACACGCTTGTTGTGCTTGATTTTGTGCTGCCTTCTGGACCCCCTTTCGAGCCCAAGGTCAGCGATCACAGCACTAGGTTTAAGCTTAAACTCTGACACATTCTTGTTAAATTCAGCGCAGACTGCCTTGGCCATGTCGATGCCGGTCCCGCTAACCCCAGACTTCCCCGAGATGTCGAGGCCAAGGGAGCGGGCACCCCGAAAGAAAACCGAGGCCGCCTTGGCCAGGACGGGGGCCAGGATATGTTTCGGCCCTTCAGCGCGCTGGTTTATATCATCGACCCATTGGTATGATCTAACACCTCTGGGTAAAAACTGGCGGTGGATATCATCGAGCAAATCATATAAAACAGCTCTGGCAAGATTATTTGCATCGCTATCTCCAGTCAAGAGCGATCCCGTGGGCTGAATGGGTGCAGCGATCGCGCCCCTGGAGCGCAGCATCCTCGGCGACATGTACAGGACCGCCGCCATGCCAAGCTTCCTGGGCGAGAATTCAAGCTTGAGCGCCGCCTCGAATGCCATGATCGGGTTGACGCTGTCGTAGAATTCTGCGAAGTCCCACATCACGTTAGCATAGTGTATGTCCAGCTCGTCATCGACTTCGTCACAGAACAGGCGGAAGATGCCGCACTGGAGGGCACTGCTGCCCTTGATGGCCTGGTCCCAGTGCCCGGCCTTGGCAGCGCACCAGTCGGCCCCAATGACCTTACGCATCTGCGCCCAGAAGCGCATGAGCCATGGAATCAATGCAACGCCCCTCTCCGAGCCGTCTGGCTTCGGAAGCATGCCCACCAGTACACTCATGAGCTGCCACGGCCACGCCATCTGCCTCTCGCATTGGTTGAAGAAGTCGGCCAAATCCTGCTTCGCCTGAAACGGCAGGTTGCGAATGTCCAAAGGCCCGAGGTTGTCGCTGCCACGGCCCGTGGCGTTGGGCAGGACGGTGGCCTTCTCGTGGATGAGGTAGGGGTCTATGGGCTGCCATGCGTCCT